TTAGAAGTAGTATAGGTCATGGTTTCTAAATGAAAGGTAGTTCTTATATTCACTTATGTCTACTATTATGCATGTTAAGATGATGTTTATGAAAGCTTTATATGTGTTTCCTTAGCTAGGATGACTTGATAGGTTTACTAGTATGGGCAAGGGTATGGTACTTTGCCTATGCATTGCACATGTGTACCTTGATAGGATAGTTCTAGTGTTGCTAAAAAATATGCATACACACACACATGTTTGAAGATCTAGTCAAGAGAGAGGCCTTGAATGGTGTATTCAAGCGTACCCTAAACTAGATGATGCTTTAGATATGCTATGTTTATGTGAATGGATTCTTTACAAGAATTAGGTGGATGAACTTTCATCTATGACCTATGAGTTAAGCATAAGAGGGGATGACTCTCCTAAACCTATGTTTCATAAATCAGAAATATAATAAAGGTCTTCAATAAGGGGAACTTATCTTAGTAACGAGTGAACTTGAATATGAGTGTGTCCCTTCCTATAGTAGGAAGGTAGGTCACCATAAATCTCATGAAGTGGATAACCACAATGCTTCAATGAGCATAATAGGGTTTCCATAAGCTAATAACTACAACGACTAATCTTGGCATACTACAACGACTAATATTGGCATAAAAAGGGTTTTCACATGTACCTCCAAGTTCCATAACTATGTTGCCACCATACGATACTAGATTGTGGATCCACCTAGAAAGTTATGTAACATTTTTTTCTACTTTGACCAGTAGACCAATTTTTTTTGGTGTGGGGTTATATGAAACAAGATTTTGTGTTTAGGATCACATGGTCTATGTCGTTTAAGGCTATTGTTTTCCTAAAGAATAATGGATAATGGAAGTAAATGACTAGCACAAAAAATAGAATGACTTAAGGGTGGTTACTTAGGATAGGTGGAAGTAATGATCCCATCTACACATTGCACAAGTACCTCATTAGGAAGTTCTAGGAATGTGTTCCAATGCATGTCACTACATATGTACTCCTTATGCATGACATTGTAGTATTTTTCCACTTGTTATGAAGATGTGCATGATATGAGTTTTTATGCATGATTTTGATCTTGTTTACTATATGAGGAAGGTGTTGACTTAACTATGTCTATGTTGTACTATCCTTCTATGATGGTATGTATTGCCTTTTATAGATTTTTGTATGATTTATTGTGGCCTTAAGGTGATGCATTGCACCAAGTATCACTAGAGGGTTACTTTGGAAGTTAATAAATAAAAAGGAAAATGGTTAATGTTAAAAAGATTGAGATCACTGTAATGTGACCTCAAATGGGACTTAAATTCTATATGTGCTTTTCTATGATTTTTAGCCGTTGATTGTGTTTTTCGAAGTACAAAATGATGTAAATGCTATTTTTAATGATTTATAAGGATTTACTCAAAAAAGCATGATGTTTGATTTCAATAAAATGTCCCTTTTTAAATACATGTTTTTGCATGGTTGCATACTTAGTGCATTCTTGTACTCATCCCATTCTTCTCTACATTTTACACAAAATGTAGGCTATGGATGCTTAAAGGATGTCTTTAATGGTGAGGAGCATGATCTGTGATTCCCAACCTCAAGCAAAGGAATCCTTAAGTCCAAGGATTTCCTACTTTATGGTTTACTGTAAAGTCTTAAACTTTGTACTTATGTTTATGTTTTAATGGTCATGTCCCTAATGTATCTAACGTTGTTGATTCTAGACAAAGAGACTTAGGGCATAAATATGTAATCGGACTTTTATATATATATGAACTGATCTTTCTAGCATATGATGTGCTATGAAAAACTTTACAATTTCCAGTAAATTTACTATGTCGATGAGATGAATGATAACTATGGGCATTTATAAGACCTCCGAGAGGTCAAGTACGCCATGTTACTTCTACGGAGTGCTCCCCCGATGTTACAGGGGAAGCCTCCCAATTCTGCCCCAAATAATTTTTGCGGCACTAAGGTGTGTGCTAGGCTCTGTCTCGAGGGCAAGGTCTCATTCTTTCTCCTGCACGCTGACTTGGGCAGCCTCTTTTTCAACGTTTGGGTCCTCCTTGATGGCCCTTTGGGTGGTCCCCGGTGAGTCGCACCCGAACGTTTTTACCCTTAACTTGTCTATTAAGGTACTAGGGTAACCTAAACTACTTCTCAACTCTAAATAACACATAAAATCAATCCAAACATACGAGGACTAACGAGTACGTCTAAAGAAAAACTTTCGTAAGTGTTAGACGTTCTTTGACGTTTTACTTCCAAATGACTTCAAATAAATATGCATAGTATAAAACACTTAATTAACATGTTATTAACCTCTTTAGGAAGATGTGAGGCTCTAGATACTTAGTTCATTTTGAGGGTGTGTCAATACTCACCCACTTAGAATAACATTCCTCCTCGAATGACACTAAAACATTTTAAATACTTTCAATGGCTCAATGACTTCAATAACAACTCACAACACATTAACATGTTATCAAATAAAATTCAATGCACAAAACATACAAGGAACACCAAATTCATTCTAGCATGCATTCGAAGCAACGTAATCCAGCATGGACTACTTCTATAATTCATTCCATGCACACATACTTCTTCATATTCATTGCCATTTGGAGGAACTATATTTCCAACATAAGTCATTTTCAATATTTCATCACAAGCTTAAACATACTATGGATTCAAACTACATAATTAGGCATAATCCACACTTCAACTTATGAAAAATTTTGAACATTTCATTTGGTTGCACAAGAATAAAATATAAAGTAGATCAACTACAATCACATACTCTAGACATAATACCATCAAGGTCATATATGACATCACCATGCTTAGGTTTGTTCAAGGAGGAACTACCTTCTTCAATTCATAACATATACACATGCACCATATAGTTAAAATAGAAGTAACGCATAGAGGTTAATTCATATTATGAAGCATATCTTTATTCCAAACACAATTGTGCTTATACTTCCTTCGACATGTCAGCCACACCAAACACATCAAAACTTCAGGATGTAAATTTACAGCTTTCTATTTTCAGCACATCACTAGATTTCATTAACATTCATCGTTTAGGAAAATTTATTACAATTCATAGGCACACAAAAAAACATATGCTAGAAAAACCATCACTCCTCAAGAGAGAGCCTATAATCAAACTTCCCAAATGTTAAAAGTCACACATTTTCAGAGAGACTCATCTTATGTTATTTAAAGAAGACTCAATTCCTCATTGTGGGGCCATAAATCACACCACATAATTGACATAAAGCATGCTCATTAAACTATCTCGGGAAATATAATTGCACATTTAGCATATAAGGATGCACAACAACATGAGAAACATGAAAATTTATCAAAAATTCTTTTTTTCATGTAATAACGACCTTTCATAATATGCATAACATAGCGTCATTTTAGACATTTATATCATATGGAGAATATGCAACTTATCCTTTTATGCAAGACTACTTTCATGAACAAGATACTTAGGAACTCTTCGGTTTCAAGCTTGAGTAAGAATAGAAGGAAAATATAGGGATATGTTAACCCTTAATGCTCAAATTATCTTCCCCCACTTAGGACAAACTCATTTAAGACCAAATCATCTCAACTCTAAAGGAATCTTAGCTTACCAAACCTTATTAACTAAGCACATGATCCCTCTATTGGGATATAAGCTTAAGAACACCCTTCTTACCATTACTACAAACTGATTATCAACTTAGAAAAGTTCAAGAGAGTTCAACATAGGGACATTAAGGAAACATTAAATCTAATCATCTATGCACATTATCCCCCATTTTCGGGTAAGCCTAAGCACATCATTCCCTTAACACCATGGTAAAGGAAATTCAAGACAAACCTACAAGGGTCATCACTTTTGGGTGGAACTTTCCAGCCAACCAACTTCCTTAATTAACCATACTGAAATTAAAGCTTAAAAGACAACTAACCAATTTAATGTAGGTCAACCTCAATTCTCTCTTTCTCATGAAAATCCAAGGGGTTACATATCATACATCCCTCTAAGTCATCTTAGGGTAATCATACTTCCCACTTTATGAAAAAAAAACTACATTTTCTCCCTTTTACCACTTTTAAAATAGGTTCATAGAGGGGATCATTACCTATCTTACTAGACATAAGGTTTCTATCATTAACTAGAATACTTGACAATCCCCTTACAAGACTCAACACACTGTATCCCCTCTTGAGGAGCAAGCCTATACAAAATATCCCGATCCACACAAGGAAAACTATGAAGCATTTCACATATACTAATGTAACTTTCATCTTTCTCACTATTCACCGAATTCTCCAAGACTTTAAAGACTACACCATAACATCATGCTACCATCCTTCATAATCATAATGCATTCTATCATTCCATGGGGAACTCCAATAAACCATAACAACTATTAACAAGCTATAACAATATCATATTATAACTTCTTAACATAACATCACATTCACCATAAGCCACCTATAGCTATAAATGGCACCACATCCACATATATTAAATTCACCTTCACATATACTTACCAATCCATAAAATAAAGGTAAGTATCAAAAGATCACCTTTTGTCCCCCAAACATTGAGGCATCATCCCAGTCCAAGCAATCACATCGACAAGACCACCGAATAAGGAAACATAAAAGAGAGATCTTTTAGCATTAAGTTCTATGGCACGACATGAGAATGGTGAGGAAGGGAAACTCTATCGTCCTATAGCCTTCTGTATCATTTGATGTGTCGCGACTCACCACCAATTAGATGAGACTCTATAAGACGTGGTAACACAAGACTTTGAAACCTAAAGACAAATCCTACAACCTTATGCTCTCATACAAAGTTTTTTATGACCCGAGAGTATACCCTTGAAGTTATGGTATTCTCAAATCTTAACATGGCGTCATCGACCTCTCGGAGGCCTAATACAAGTCCTTAGACATCTTTCATTGCATAATCGTAAAAATAGAAAAAAAATTTAAACTTTTCATACCACATCCTATGCTATAACATTACATTATATATGTATATAATATAATAATACATAGTTAGACTGTAATGTCTCTTTTCCATCTTAAGACACAATTCAATATAATATAATAGAATAGGGACATGATCCTTCACAACATAATATATAATTCTAAGCTATTACATTATATTATAGGAACTTCACATAGGGAAATCCATGAATCATAAGGATCCCTCTTCTGGAACTTAGAAGTTCTATCCAAGATCTTCACCTAGAAGACTTCCTCTAGCCATCACCACCTACACTTGGTGTAAAAAGATAATGAAGAATCATATTAGTACAGGAATGCACTAAGTATGGTAACCATGCAAAAACATGTATTTAAAGAGGACATTAAAGTAGAAATCATGCAACATGTATTTTCTCGTAAACTTCATGAACATAGGAACATATAAGCTCAATATAGTTCACATACATAAAATAGACATGGATAATAAGCATAATATCACATAAAGCCATTTATCATACTAATAAGCATATTCAATATACATCTTATATTACCTCTCTTTTATTTTACATCGTTTCTTAACTAACCCTCGAACTGTACCTTGTGCAATGTATCACATTGATGTCACGTTACAATAGTATTTCATAATATGTTAAATAACACTACCACATATATTCACAATTCATAAGCACATCAATGAAATCAACTTCACATAAGAACCATCACCTAAGTGAACTCCTAAGTTAGACTACTGCATATGTAGGTAGCATACCATAATACTACTTCCACCAAGTGGGCCTAAGAAGTCACCCTAGTCTAGACACAACATACATCACATGTCATAACACATTCACTTACAACTATACATAATTACACATGATTCATGTAATCATATAAGGATTCTTTCCTTTAATAAAACCTTAGTCATAAAACATTTAGTTCATATAATAGGTAAACTACCCTCAAAACCCCTTCACAATCTTACTTGTGCAATGTACACATGGAGTCCCATACCCCCTCATATACTAAGTAAACACATTTAGAAGCCATAAGTGTAATTCACATGCATAGTCATAATTCATATCTTAACATAACAAAGTCACTTAACATGCATTCATACAATTCATATAGAAAATAAGTATTTACTTCATAAGGGTCTCCAATCCTCTCCTTTCTTGGAGACATCTTGTGCAATGTATAGGTAGGGTCCATAGTCCTATATACCAAGTACACTTCTCAAGGAATTTAGATTAGAATTCATATTCATATATTAGCTAATTATTAACCATTGGGAGACATAGACATAAAAGACATAGACCATGTGAGCTACATGAAATCCGATGATCTACTCCCACACCAAAAAAGAGAGGATTAACACTTTTTGAAGGTTCAACAATCGTACATAGCTATTCTCGGTGGATCCACTAACCTAGAGTCCTATGTGGGCACATTGTTAAGGGACATGGAGATTTCTTCTAAAAACCTTGACTTTCGAACGTGAGGGTTTCCATTTGATGAAACAACACATATATTGGGACTCCGGACTTTCTAATGTAAAGAAACCCATGTGGGAGGACGGACTTACTAACGTGAGACCTCCATGTCATTTACATTCCCTTTCGATGCTAATCAATAACTGTATTATTAAACATCATTAGGCCTTTAGATAACATTAGTTCATATAGAATAGGGCTTCGATACTTGATCCCTCATATATCCTATAGCTCAAAGGATTCTTCGGTCAGAATTCGACATTCATCATAGAACCTACCTTATGTGAGAATATAATTTCACATAATCATATCATATTCATACATGCATGTCTGTGTGTATATATATGTGAAATCTACCTTCACATAAACACATTTAGGCACACATGTTCAGAACTTCATAAGTCATATACTTTATATGAATAAAAATAGGTAATGATGCATCGGAGAACTATCATTTCCTTCGTCATCATGAATCTATCCTACTCATGAATATGCATGAAGTGTGTGTGTACATTTGTCAAAATGATTACATAATGGTTATCACATAGCATTGAGGAAGCCACCCTCTAAAGCCACAACACACTTAAAACATTTTAAAAGTCTCAAGTCATACACACATATAGAGCATTAAGTACTATAGACTACACACACTCATATTACATCATACGAGACAAGTACATCTTTAGCAATAAGATATACAGCTCCTGGCATACATTCATCACAAATTCATATGGGGTTCATATAGGTAGTGGACATGCGATAAGGACATTCTTCATCATTAACCATATAGACCACACCTAACTCTAACATGATCATCACACTTAAACATATAAAAATATCCCCACAGCTAGAATAAGAGAGTAGTGTAGAAGACTATACACAAAAATTTACATAACATCAATTCACTTAGACATGATATTAGAATTAAGGCTAAGTCCTTCAACTTCCTCATATAGAAATCATCATATCAATTCATATTATATCTAATGCCTTTAAGGCCATGATCATAACACATAAACATGTACAAGAAAGTAAACACCGCCAACATAGGTGGACCATACCAATCAACACGATTCAATGTACACTCTAGGCTAATTAGAAGAAATATGTCAACTTACCAAATTTCCAATCTTGTGATCATCATTGATAATTCCTCCACAATTCATACTAAATGATATAAAAAGTAATAACAACAAGCAATTCAGTACAATCTAATCACAATTTTATAAACATCGAATAAATATCACAAGACCCACATTATACGCTAATGTGAGAAATTAGGAGGTCATGTGTTATTCATTAAATTGGATAGAAATTAATCATAAAATCAGCAGACAAACTTAAATTCATCATTACAATACTTTTGAATTCAATTTGAGAATGAAACCATGGCTTTATTGAAATAGATGGTTTTTGACTTAGAATTCGTGTTAAGAAAACCTTTGAAAGTACTCCATAGATGAATGGTTATATATGGATGAAGGATCACCATACCTTATACATTAAAATCCCATGAAAATCTGAGAAGAAAGATCCAAGAATCTAAATCCATAGCTTGTTTTTGAGCTTGGTCTTGAATGGAGGTTTCGAGGGGTTTTTGGAAGAAAAGAGAACCTTGGGGATTTGATTTCTTAATGTGTTGGGGTTTTTTATTGGGAAAAGGTTTAAAAAGATGTTAAAACAGTTCATAAAACGTCCCCTATGTTAAAAAAAACCCCACACAAATAGGGGCTCTTAGACATGTCAAAATTGACTTAAAAACGAGGCAACCGGATTGTGTAATGGGCTGCACATCACGGGGAAGACTTCCAGTTATTCCCCAAATAATATTTGAGGCAGTGAGGTGCGTTCTAGCAGCGCGTTGCGGGGGCAAGGTCTCATTCATGCTCCTGCACGCTGCCTTGGGCAGCCGGGCCCTTCGGGTTGTCTCCGGGAAGGCGTACCCCAGATTTTTTTACCCTTAAAATGTATATTGAGGTACAAGGGTTAACTAATTGCCTGTCAACTCAAAAAAAGACCTAAAATCAATAAAAACATACAAGGACTCACTAGGACATCTAAAGACCATCTCTCGAACATCTTGGACGTTTGACCTCGAAATGACTTCAAATCATATATCTATACTTTAAAACACCTAATTAAAATGTTATTAACCTTTTTAGTCACATGCTAGTCTCTGGCTACCTTAGTGCATTTAACGGGCGTGTCATCACCAATCACAAGCTATCATAACTGAAGTAAAAGTTAGGATCACAAATACCAAATCTCCTTCGAAAACAATCATCATGGTCTTACCATCAACCAACAAATTACATCAATCAAAAGTAGTGAACAAAAGAACTAGGTCAATTGCATCATTTGTACCCCAATTAACATCAATTCATAACCTACGGTTAGGGGAATTAGGGTTCATCATAAATTCATCAATAATTAGATCCAATCCCAACAATAAATTACCCTAGTCAATAAATACATGAATAAGAATAGATAAAGCAAGTCTAATAATAAAATCATTCTTTAATTTCGATCAATTCATGACCAAGATCCAAGATTTGGGGAATTTGGGGAAGGGAACATGATCAACATAAAATTGTATCAATTAAAATCAATTAATCAATAATCTATACTTAATTAGTCATAGGAAATCACAATTTATCATCAATTTAAAGTTTAGAAGAAAACCAATCAGAATTGGAAAACCCCATGGAATTGGATATTTTGAAAATCAACTTTCTGAGGATCTATTGGGAAAGGAATCCCAAGAGTGAAAAAACCATACCTTATTGAAGCTTAATCAAGGAAATTGAAGTGAAATCCTAGAGAAATTGACCTTCTTCTTCATGTTTTCTTCCTTTTTCAATGGAGGAATTGGAGAGAGAGAAAGCAGAAAGAGGTGAGAGCTTTTGGGTTTTATTTTTGAAATTCTGTTTGTATAAGTGAAAAATGACTGAAATGACCCTTAGGCTATATATGATAACTCCCTTAATTACCCAAAACACCCCTCACTTTAATGGGTCTTTTTGTGAAGTCAAAATGTCGTAAATATGATTTTACCAGATAAGGGAAGTGGCATGCGTCGCGGGACCAATGCACACTATTTTTCTAAAACAAAATTCATGTAGTGATGTCCGTGTGGGACGCACGTCAAACAGAAGCCCATAGATTCTTGATTTTCGTAGGCTGCATTGGCAGTCTTCCCACCAATGTTGGGGTCCTCCTCCATGACCCTTCGGGTGGTTCTTGGGGTGTCATTATTGGACGTTTAGACCCTCTATGCTACACGCTACCCAAAAAAATATTTTTACAAGTTTCATACTTCATTTTATCCTCTGAAACCATCCCAAAACGTAGTGATGTCAACTACTTCAATAAGGCTTGTTTCCGAACGTCATTGACGTTCTTTGACGTCGTGGATCTTAAATTCTTGGATGAATTATACACATTATTTTTGGTGTTAAAACAGTATCTAAACCCTTAGACACTCATTTTAGGCTGTATATTAGGTCTTGATTTTTTGATGTGTTACAGTATCCCCCCCCCCCAAGGATCATTCGACCCCAAATGCTACTAAACTTTTAAAAAGGGAAAGGATAGACTCAAGACTAGCATGCCAACCACACAATATACTAAAATAACATCATGAGTTACAACTCAAATAAACATAAACATACGAAATTTACATAATGACTCAAAATATCAATTTTACACATAATGGCTCAATGTCACAACATGAGGAATTTCCTTGTCATAACAGCAACATGAGCTCCCATATCAATGACGAGTCAATTATTCCAAAGTTGTTTTCTCAACATATCAACATGAGAAATATCTCATTATGATGGCAACAATATACAAAATACATAATAAGTGCAATTCGAGCAAAAGAGCTTTTTTCCATGATAAATCATTTTAGCATAAATCTTTTTACCAGAAATATACACATCTTTGCGAAACAAGTAAAACTCACATTAACTCGTTATTTTATCATTATTAACAAGAAAAATTACCCTTAATTAGCAAAGAGATGAGGGTTACGGGACTTCATGCCGGCCTCGGCCTCCCATGTTGCTACATCAACTAGGTGGTTTCCCCATAACACTTGTACGGAGGCCACTTCTTTGTTCCTCACACTCTTCACTTAAAATTCAAGGATTTCAACTGGAAGCTCCTCATTGGAAAGGTTCTCTTTCACACCAAGACATTCAACAAGATGAATTTACTAGGGATTACCAATGCACTTCTTAAGCATAGAAATATGGAAAACTGGATGAACCTGAGATAGTTAACTAGGGAGTTTCAACTCATATGCAACCTTTCAAATATTTTGTAAAATTTTTATAGGGACCCACACAACAGGAACTTAACTTCCCTTTTTTTCCAAATCAAACAATCCCTTTCATGGGCGAAATTTTAAGTATATCTTATCACCCTTTTAAAATTCTAGGTTGTTCTCCTATGATCGTTATAAGACTTTTGCTGACTATAGGTTGTTTGCGACCAGTTGCTTATGATATGAACTTTCTACAAAGTCTTATAGATCAAATTAGGACCAAGAAGCGAATATTTGGCAATGTCAAACCATCAAATAGGATATCTACACCTCCTACCGTACAAGTCTTCATAAGGAGCCATAGAGATGGATGAATGAAAAGTATTATTATAGGAGAAATCCACCAAAGGTAAATGTTCATCCCAATTTCCCTTAAAGTCAATGATACAAGCTCTAAATATATCCTCAAGAGTTTGAATAGTTCGCTTCGCTTGACCATCCATTTCAGGATGAAAATGGTGCTTAACTTCATTTGAGTACCCAAACCTCTTTCAAAAGATCTCCAAAATCTACACATATATTCAGCACCTCTATCTGATATAATGGAAAAAGGAACCACATTAAGACTTACTATCTTGTAAATATAGATCCTTGCATAGTCTTCCACCGAATAAGTATACGTAACGGGAATAAAGTGAGTGGATTTGGTCAATCTATAAAATACCACCCATATAGAGTCATATTGCTTTCGAGTTAGAAAAAACCCAACTAAAAAATTTATGAACATTTTCCTACATCCAAGAAGGAATTTGGATTTCTTGTAGTAGACCACTAGGCTTTTGTGTCTGTCCTTCACTTGTTGATAGTTGGGATTATTTGCAACAAACTACGTAATTTCCCTCTTTAGGCTATCGCACAAGAACACTTCTCCAGGTCATAGTACATCTTTGTAGAACCCGGATGAATATAGTAACGGGATCCATGAGATTTCTCAAGGATCCTAATCCTCAAATCATCCATATTAGGCACATAAAATCTACCTTGATATCTAAAAATACCGTTCCCCTTGGGAGAATGACTCATTCATCTTAGCAAGAATCGATTCTTTCGACTCCATCAACAATGGTTCAAGGTGTTGATTAGAGTTCACCTCAAACACCAAAGACGACTCAGAGTTATGATGTATCACCATACCACCATTTAAAGAATCTTTAATTCGAACCCCTGAACAAGCCAACCTATGAACATATTTCACTATGTTTCTCTTAGATTCTTCCAAATGGAACACACTTCCCATTAACAATCGATGTAGAGCATCTCTACCACATTATCCTTGCTGGGGTGATAGAGAACACTAATATCATAGTCTTTCAACAAATCTAACCATCTCCATTGACGGAGATTCAACTTCTTTTTGAGTGAATACATATTGGAGAATTTTATTGTCCGTATATAAATTAACATGAATCCCATAGAGATAATGGCTCTATATTTTCAAGCCAATTACCACGCCCTCTAACTCAAGGTCATGAGTAAGGTAATTCTTCTCATGAACATTGAGTTGCCTAGAAGCATATGCCATAACTTTGTCATGTTACATAAGAGAACACCCCAACCCAACTCGGGTTGCATCTTAATAGACCACAAAACACTTACTACCCTCTGGTAGAGTCAATACCGGAGCAAAAGTGTACCTATCCTTCAGCATTTCGAAGCTCTTTTCATATGCCTCCGACCACTCAAATTTTACAGTCTTTTGAGTCAAGGGTGTCAAAGGGGAAAAAATGGATGCAAACCCGTTGACAGAACTTTTATAATAACCATCCAGGCCTAATGAGCTTCTAATATTCGTAGGAGTCAAAGGTCTACACCAATTTTTCACTACTTTGGTCTTCTTTGGATCGACCTCTACTCTTGCTTTTGAGATAATATGAACAAGAAATTCTACCTACCTCAACAAAAACTCACATTTTCTATACTTGGCAAACAATTGGGGTTCCTTAAGAACTTGCAAAACCACTCTCAAATGGTCTTTGTGCTTACCCTCATTTTCTAATATACCAAGATGTCGTTAATAAAGACAATGACAAATGAATCTAGGTAACTTTGAAACACAATATTCATATGTACGTATATGCCTCCGGAGCATTAGTGAGACCAAAGGACATTACTAAGAACTCATAATGACCATATATTATTCAAAATGCCGTCTTTGAAATATCTTCACCTCTCACCCTAAGTTGGTGATATCCCGATTTCAAGTAAATCTTTGAAAAGTAAATCACACCTTACAGTTGATCAAATAAATCATCAATCTGATGGAGAGGATACTTGTTTTTTTATTGTGACTTTATTTAGTTGACGGTAACCGATACACTTTCTAAGGGACCCATCCTTATTCTTCACAAACACTAGTTGAGCACCCCATGGAGAAATACTAGGGAGAATAAAGCCCATGTCTAGTAAGTCATTGAGTTGAGACTTCAACTCTTTTAATTAATCTGGATCCATCCGATAAGGATAAATTGAAATGAAATTTGTATGCGGTAGACAGTCGATACCAATATCAATTTCCTGTTCAAAAGAAATATCGAGAACATCATTAGGAAAGACCTCCGAAAATTCCCTCACTACGGGGACCCACTAAATGGGAGGATTTCGGCGTCTAAATCTTGGACTTATAATATATGGTATAAACACCCTTTTAAAGATCATCCTAAGAGCTTTCAAACAAGAAATTATAAGACCTCTAGGAATAGAATTTCCCGCATTCCACTCTAAAATGGGTTCATTTGGAAAGTTAAACATCACCACCCTTGTTGTATAATCAATAGTAGTAAACTAATCACCCAACAAATCCATACCCAACATCATGTCAAAATCGACCATATCAAGTTTAACTAGATCCACATGAGTAACTCTATTGGTCAACATTATAGGACAATTTCTTTATACTTCTTTTAGTAAAAACTGACTAACCCACCGGGGTAGTCACCATAAAAGGATCATTCAATATATCGGGCAAAATGTCAAAATTATTAGCTAGTAGAGGAGTAGAAATGAAAAAATAGCAGCAGGATCAAGTAAAGTATATACATTAATCGAACATACTTTAAACATACCGGTCAGAAAATAGGGAGAAGTCTCTTGCTCACCCCTAGAATGGAGAGAATAAAAGTGGTTCTTCTTCGAAGCATCATCATTTAAACCACATGCTTGTTCACTCCCCTTGTCTTGCCCCTTAAAATTAAGGAAATCTCTCACCTTGTGACCCCTTTTCCAAAACTAAAACAATTGCGCGTTCCAACTAAGCATTAACAAAAGTGACCTTTCCCACACTTGGTACAAGTAGGCTTTGTCATATACGGGTTTACCCCCTAAATGTAACCAGTGTCGTCGTCCTTTTGAAAGATTAAGACTAGCCTCTTAGTCTCATATCATTACATTCATAGGTTGAATAATACGAAAAACTATAAAACTTGCATTATCACTACTTGGAGGTTTACATAGACCTTTACATACACATAATATATATTCATATCGAGTATACATAGACCCTTCTACTCTCATTGCAAATACATATACGTAAAATATAAAAATAGTCTTAATGATTATCTCATCTCATAACATCAAAATGAATATC